GGGGGAGAAGAGAGAGTCGCGGGGGGAAGGGAAGGTTGCGGGAGGAGGGGGGAAGAGAATCGGTGGGGGGAGTAGGGGAAGGAGTTGGAGGAGAAAGAAGAATCGGTGGAGAAAAAAAAAAATCAAAAAAAATCGCACGTACCTGGTCGTGACACCGGCCAGGTTCAGGGTGAAGCTGCGATGAGGAGGAAGGCGCTGAAGTGCCTGTTGAATGCTTGTCGAAGATCACGGCATCGGAGCACGGCAAAGATGATCGTGGCGGCCCCACACGTCCTAACCAGGTGGGGGCAGCTTCCCTTAGCCACGCTGCCAACACTTAGGTTAGGGTTAGGGCAGCAAAGTCAACTCTCACCAGCAAGTAGAATCCGCTATGATGCCAATGTTATGATCCTGGCCAATTTCGAGATACACATTCATCAGATACTACAATGCCGTCCGCTTGCAAAAAGAAATGAATGAACTTGAGAGGAGAGAGAGGGATAGACGAAGAAATAGAAAGAAAGAAGAAGATGATGATGCACACCAGCATAGAACAATGAGAATGCTCTTCTTCCTCGCCAATCACTCTTCTCCTCCTTATCCCTCCTCTCTTATTCACACAAGAAATAATAATACAATGTTGAATGGATGAACCAGAATGAAAGTCCGAATCCCTCTTCTACTGCAGGTATCACTTGAGGTCCACCATAGCCAWGGCCGCCTCCCTCACTCTTCACTCTCATAGGCCAAGGCTATGGCAGACTACTAGTTCTTGCCCAGATGCCCAAAGGACAACCCAAAGCAGCTATGGCTGCCCTAGCTCAGGCCGCCATGCCTGACTCTGCCTCGAAGCTTCTTCGTGTAGCTCTACCTCAGCTGGGGCCTTCCTGCTGCAGCGCCCACCAAGGTGATGAAGATGGCTGCCACCACACCCAGGTAAGTACCTCTGGCGCACCTACCTAGCCCTGGCCTTCTTCCTCCTCCGTGTCCTCCGTGTCCTTGCTCCTTCCCCAGCAGCGCTGCTCCAGCCAGCGCTCCAACCAGTGTGTCGCCAAACTTGCACACTGACAATGAGGCTGGGCTGTCCGCCCAGCCTGGAGATATAGCGGACTGCTTGCGTCTTGGGCGGTGACTTCCAGGCCGCTCGGCCTTCCAAGCAACCGGTACCTCCTCCCTTCCAGAGGTAAACATCATTGCAGACTCTGATATTGCCCGTACAGACCCTAGACTCGGACTCGTTGGACTGGTACCGGCCTAGACCTAGCCTACAACTACTGGGCCTCTAAAAATGCCACTTTCATCTCTTCTGCTCGTCCTCGAGTACCTGGCACATTTACCTCTTCAGGGTGTAGTACCAGCCTACCTGCTACTTGAGTGTTTCCTAACTGCTTCAAGTGTTGTGGGCCTCTTCCCCCGCCACTTGAGTGTTTTCCCCCGCTGCAATTCTCAATGTCACGGCCACAGGTAAGTACCGGCCCCGAGGGCCCAACAAACGAACAAGTGCCCTTGCAAGTCACATACACACTCAAGCCATCAAGTACTCAGACAGACATGCAGACCAGCAAGCGTTCACACACACAGACTTAGAGAACTTAGTAGCAAGCGGGAAACTCAGCAAGGCATTCAGTCCACGAGCAAAACTCAGAAATCAGCTGTGTGTCTCAGTCCGTGTTTGGCCAGGTCATCAAACTACCCCCCCTTAAGAGCGAGGTGAGTCCCCAACAAACGCATCGTAAGCAAACAAAGCTTTGCAGAGATTTTAGGTACATCATTAGAGGCGATTTCTCGCTCATAGGCTTTAACAACGCGAGGGGCGCACCGCAGCAGTTCCTTTTTGCTTTTTGGAAATCCAGTATAGATCGTCCAACAGGTGATACATAAAGTGAACCCGATACTGAAGAAGAAGAAGAAGAAGAACGCGAAGAAGAAGAAGGCGAAGGCGAAGGCGAAGACGAAGACGAAGAAGAAGAAGAAGACGGCAGCGAAGGCGAAGGTGGCGAAGAAGGCGGCGCGAAGAAGGCAGCGGCGGCGAAGAGGAAGGCGGCGAAGAAGGCGAAAAGGCAGCGAAGAAGGCGAAGAAGAAGCCGAAGAAGAAGGCGGCGGCGAAGACGAAGGCGAAGAAGAAGAAGGCGGCAAAGAAGAAGGCGAAGAAGAAGGCGGAGGCGGCGAAGGCGGCGGCGGTGGCGAAGGAGAAGAAGAAGGCGGCTGCGAAGGCGGCGGTGAAGGCGGTGGCGAAGGCAGAGGAGGACGAAGGCGAAGGCGAAGAAGGCGAAGAAGGCGAAGAAGAAGGCGAAGAAGAGGGCAAAGAAGACGGTGAAGAAGAAGGCGAAGAAGAAGAAGAAGAAGAAGAAGAAGAAGAAGAAGAAGAAGAAGAAGAAGAAGAAGAAGAAGAAAAAGGCGGTGGCGAAGGCGAAGCGAAGAAGGCGGCGAAGAAGGCGACGGCGACGGCGGCAGCGGCGAAGGCAGAGGAGGAGGAAGGCTAAGGCGAAGGTGAAGGTGAAGGCGAAGGCGGCGAAGAAGAGGAGGGGGAGGAGGTGGAGGAGGAGGAGGAGGAGAGGAGGAGGAGGAGGAGGAGGAGGAAGAAGAGGAGGAAGAGGAAGAGGAAGAAGAAGAAGAAGAGGAGGAGGAGGAGGAGGAGGAGGAGGAGGCGGAGGAAGAGGAGGAAGAGGAAGAATAATTATTTCAAATCCTTTTTTTTTTAATTGACGATCGTGATAGTTGATTCCATAGAAACTCTTGAAAATCAATCATCAAACACATAGATGGACGTCCCGCCGTTGTTTTGCATGATTGAGTCTGTTCAGTTTGAAATCAAGCTCAGGAGGAGGAGAAGGAGCAGGAGGAGGAGCAGGAGGAGGAGGAGGAGAAGAAGAAGAAGAAGAAGAAGAAGAAGAAGAAGAAGAAGAAGAAGAAGAAGAAGAAGAAGAAGCAGGAGAAGCAGGAGAAGAAGAAGAAGAAGAAGAAGAAGAAGAAGAAGAGGAGGAGGAGGAGGAGGAGGAGGAAGAAGAGGAGGAAGAGGAGGAGGAAGAAGAGGAGGAAGAGGAGGAGGAAGAAGAGGAGGAGGAAGAAGAGGAGGAAGAAGA